GGGTTGAGGTACGGTGCCTGGGTGCAGGCATATCACAGCCGGCTTGCCCTGGGCTTTCTCCGCAACCCTCGCCCCAAAATGTGACCCCGAGATGACCACTGTGGGCATCGATCACAAGTATAACGCACAAATGTAAGCAGAATATCTGTACACAACAGTTTACCAACGTCTTTCCACAAGCCAAGCAAGTCTTTCCCGGAAGGAGCCAGTGATGTGTGGTTGGCAGTGTTGATCTGCCGGCAGGCTCTCGAACCTTGCTGCCACCCACACCTGGGCACCCAGGTCGCTTCTAAAACGAGGTACTAATGTTGTATAGATATGATGCTACTTGTTAGGCATAATCAGATCAAGGGTTACTGATGCCCGACAATGTCCAGGATGGTATCTTGTGAACCTGCGGACTCGAGTTGTCCATTACAAGCCGAGATGATGGGGGAGACAGACATGGCCTGCTATGACCTCGAACATGGCCATCAGCAGACGGCATAACATCCACCACACGAGCCCTCGACTTTTATCACGACTAGAGAAGGCCGACTAAAAGGCCTGAGGCCTGTATCATCCAGCAATGGTGCGGATTGAGAGGTGCATCCATGGGTCACATGAGCCCTGCCACGTTGAACAGCGTGCAGACAGCTTTCTGGATCCTAATTCCTCAAGATGCGGATTAAGAGGTAGTGCAAGTCAGACATGAGACGGAGAAATTCCGCCTTGTGGGTCACGTGGTCACTCATGATTTAGAATTAGGGGGACCTGCACCTAATCTGTACTATTTCTCTTGTGTCTGCTGGACCAACGGCGGCAAGCAACCTTGGAACGTTACGTTACACAACTAAAGCAACCAGGGCCGCCGTCATTTGAGCCTCGAGCAAGAGGGCAGGAGGGCTGCTGGGGTGTTAGAGGTGACAGCCACAGGCGCGCTATTCACCACACGGAGAGACGCCTCCCGTTCTTAGCACTCTGGCTAAGAAGTGGCAAAAGCCGTAGCCAGCCTGGACCAGGGGGGGGTGTGTAGAAAGGAACAGACAGTCCGGGGTAGGATACGGAGTAGCGCCTATACATACAGCATGTCCCAGCTGCCCAGCTAAGTGATTGTTGGGGGGGATCTAACGCCACCTGGGGCCCCTGGCGCCAAGGAACGGACGCGCAGCCTACTGTAGTGCAATGCTGCCGTACCGGCCTCTGGCGTGCACAACCCTCGCTGGCTCGCTGTATACACGGAGAGGTGGCTCGGGGTGTGAGGTTGCAGCCATAGCCCTCTTGCCCTCGTGCCCTCGTGCAGTGACCGTCACATCCCGGAGGCTTCCAAATCTCATCTGCATATGGTCCGAAAAGCGGTGTGCCGCGGCATTCCTGGTTGTGCCTTGTCGGACCACTGCTGCTGTAGTGTGCGCGTGCGTTTGTGGTTGCCGCAGTATAACTAGGTAGTAGTTTAGATTGTAGCAGTATAGATTAGATTGTTGTAGTATTACGGGTTGGTGCAACGCATTGTGCATTGTGCAGCTCCCGCAGGCAGGCAGGCCGAGCGTCAAGGCGCGGGTCTTGGAAAGGGACACATACCACAAGGCCAAGAGGGCCAGGGGAGGGCGTACCACGGCATTGGTGCGACTTCTGCACGATGGCACAATCTGGCGGGCATGGAAATCTCGGGGAAAGTCGATGCGGGTTAGTGAGAATCCGCATACGAGCGGGACTAGGATGCAAACAGTTCGTTTCGTAACAAGTCGGGGAGACGGCGACGCTAGGGAAGGGAAATAAGAAAGTTGCCCAAGGTTGCTTGGACCCTGGATTTGGACCCCGTGGATCGATCCTCCATGGTGCAGCCATCCAGCCATCTGGAGCTGGAATGTACAACGGTTCGAGATTAACATGAGACACCATCTCGAAACCAGACAGCCAGAAAGAGTCGATCCGGCTTGGGGCGGATGCTGTAAATTGAATTCTCCGTCCTGGGCGTTTGATTGAGGGCGGGACGGAATGACCTCTTCATGACCGGGGCTGGTAGTCTTTCTCAGATTTCAGTACCTGTAATTGCCGCTTTAAACGAAAAAAGAGGGTAGGGGGTCAGGCCAGAGAGAAGAGAATTGGACTCGACGGGTCGGAGAGGAATCGGGGTCTGATCCCAAGCAAAGACGGGATGTACCGGTACGAGAGCTGTTAGCGGGCGAGAGGGTCTGCATGGAGCAACGGGAAAAGTGGAGATGGTACCAGCAGGGTGCCGTCAAGGGTGGAGCACGGCCACGGCGCCAACTGCGTCATTGTGCAGCAAGGGTTATTTCAACGACACACACCCACCGCAGCAGCAGCAGCAGCAGCAGCATTGTGAAAATGGGATGAGGGCATCTGCATTGACAACCACATTGGTGACGGGTTTGGTCATTGAAGAAGGCAAGGAAGAGGAGATCACGCATGGTCCGGCGGAAACCATGAAATTGAATAATGATACTGTGTACTGCGTCAATTTCACAGCGGTGGACTCTGGGAAAATGCAGGTGGAGTCTCGATATCGGGGGGGTGGGTTAATAACGCAACTGGTGGTTCGCCGTTTGGTAGAAGTCTTCCTTTAGACACGGCGAGGAGCCTACCTGCCAGCCTGCGTAGCTGCTGCTCAGCACTGAGGAGATGCTGTCGATATGGGTGGAGCTAGAAGCCTGGGTGACAGCGGTGATTGACCTGTCGGCCGTCTCATGATTGCTAAGTGTGGGCAGCGAACAAACGGCAAGCACACAGTAGGCTGGCAGGCTGCGGGGACAAGGATATCGGATGGCTTGGGAGCGAAGAAAGGACAGGATGCCCGGCTCCGCGGCTGGTAAGGTTGCGACACGACAGGAGGTGCCAGGAGGAGCAGGACCCTGAGGATCTCGCAGGGCTTGCAGGCTGGCAGCAAGCAGCGTGGCAGCGCGCAGGGCCTTGGGCTGCGATTGGCACTTGTCGTTTCGGACTGGGGCGTTGCCGCATCGCGCAATGATTTGCCATCTTATTTTCATTTAGCTTTTGCTAGCTGCCCCACGCAGGCAGGCACTTGGCGATGCGGGAGAGAGGGAGCCGGGGGCTGTCGATGAGAGAGGCACGAGGGTCAGAGGGTCTGAGGGTGTGGGTGGATGGGTGAATGGATGGGTGGATGGATGGATGGATGGATGGAAGGCCGTGGGTGGATGATTGGGGTGCAAGGCGGTGGAGCAGGCCCCAGTCTCCCGACCACTCATGCCTTGCCTCTGCTACCCCCGCCGTCCCTGCTGTCTGTGCGATCCCGGCACCCCTACCCCCGTCCCTGCCCCTGCCCCTTGCCCACCCCCCTGCCAGCTTTGTCTCCGCCTACGTCATCGGGCCGTCGCTTCGGGGAAGGTGTGTCGTCATCTGGGGGCGTGCGCGGGAAGCCGCACCCATGGCCAATCAAAAGGGAGTCGTTGATTCATACTACCAACTACCTAGGTAGTAGCAGCCTCACCAAGGTGCAGGGAACAAACACCTCCTCGCCCTCAGTCAACTACTGGGCTCTCACTCCCGGCACCCTAGCCCCGGGCCAATCAGCCAGCCCGGCCACCCAGCCAGCCGCTCCTTCTGTCCTGCCTCCGGCCCCAGGCCAGCTGGCCAGCCGATCGTCCACCCTCCACACCTGCACCAACGTGTGCTTCTGTTGTCCACTTCGGGAATCCACCTGCTGCCACTGCCGTTGGCCAAGCATGTTTCAAGTTCGCAGGGGGATGCCCCGAGGGTGTGGGGAATGTCACCCTCTTGCTTCACCGGACCGGATGGCCACCCACAGTACTCCGTATCGCCACCAAACCCTGTGCCACCACCCCAAGGCTCCTGGCCATCATCGCTGGTCGGTATACCACGTGACCGTCCCCCGCCCGGCGAGCCCGGGGGGCCCGGCGAGGCGCCAACTGCGACGCCGGGCCCTCTCAACATTGTACATAGTACATCAGTGGTTGGAACCAGCCTTGATCATGATCGCCGGCCCTAGCGACTCCGCGGCCCCGACCATCGCTGGTGAAGCCGGAGCAGCAACCCGTCGTGTGGGACTATTCCCCCGGGGCCCCGTACTCCTAGGGCTTCCTTGACCCGGACCCGTGGTACGCTCCACCGACACATGGCCTACATAGTAGTAGTACACACCAACTGCCTGACTGCCTGACTGCCCGACTGCCTGACTGGCACCCAAGTGTTGAAACTTCCCTTCTATATTTGGTGCGGCAGTGCTTGGCCCTCCTTTCATCTGCACGTGTACTGCAATGATCGGCATTCTGGCAGGGCAGCTGACCCGGGCCCTTCTGCTGCCCTTCTGCTGAGTCAACCCACGTTTCCCCCTCTATTCTTCTCTCTTCCACCGGCTCCATACATGTCACTTGCCATCCGTCTAACACGCTATCAAACCCGCCGAAGGGACATCGCGTCACAAAAGGTCCACCGTTGAGGCCTGGAGCTGTCCGTGCCTTGTCCTGAGCCTGCAGGCTGGCGGGAGCACTCTGCATCCGTAAAACTTCGCTTTGCTGAAGGTTCTGATGGCGTACATATGTATCGCGTCCCGCTTGTATTCCGTAGCAATGGTAGGCGGAACATGACTCCTCGAGCTATCGTGCTGTTCGTTGCCATTGCTATGCGTCTGGTTGGTAATGTGGTCCCTCTCGCTCGCTCAACTCGACCACGATGCGCTGTGGCTGAAAAGCACCGACATTGCAGATCGCTCTCGGTGGACCGGGGTATGGTTTCACATCAAACTTAGCCACTTACCCATAATGGCTGCTGCCACCTGCCTGCTCAAATATTACGGATGGTGAACATTAATTATGATTAAGCCTCACTAGGACTCAGTCAAGCAGAATCATACCCCGGGCGCAGCGCTTGATTGGGCAGCCCGTGACCTGTCAACGTGATATAGTAAGCGCATCAATCCTAGTGTAATTGTATACAGGGCAGACAAGCCCAACTTAGAACAGGCTAACAGGACGAGCGGGAACCGCCCTGGCCGTCTGGGGTTACGATGATAGGCATGACTCTAAGCTGGGCTGATCATTATTCAATTGGCACGAGTCAAATTCGGCCGAGCCCACGCGCACACCAAGATAGAGATCCTTGAGGAGATCGTCGCCCCCGTCAACGGTGATGTGAAGGGACCATGAGACGAGACGAAAGGAGATGAGATGATCAACGGCGGTGCCCGTATTCACAAACTTACCAAGCCACCCCCGTCCCGTGCCCGTCCCCCATCCAGGTGAGCCACGTGCTCAAGTGAGCATGTCGCTGTCGATCCGCCACACGCCGGCCCAAGGAGGCTGGTTCTTTCCGCTTGCTCCATGCTATCAACTCACCGGCACGTTCCTTCACATCCACACACGCGCACACTCTTGTTGATTGCTCGGTCGTCAGGCTTTCTTTTGTCTTATTCTTGCCATATTCTGCCCATGCCGAGGGCCACCGAAAGATTACCATCACATACAAAGCCTATGTTCTCATGGGCAGAAGATCCACTCCCATCCATGTCAGGCAAGGCAGGCAGCCAAGGAAGGCAAGCAAATGAGACAGTATGCTTTTATTCTACACTATTCAGGCCGGTAGGGGAGGCAGGAGATGGGATCCCATGGGATCTGGGCGGATACGAGAAATTTAAGGTTTTCTTTGCTGCAGGACTAGAATAGTGTCGCCTTTGAATAGAGCCATCTCAATTGAGCTAGTCGATGTAGACAAGAGTGTGCGGACCACAATTGGAAATCACACGAGACTCGCATGTAGAGCTGATAGAAGGTTCATAGACACCACACATCCAAACTGACACGCACGTGCTATTTTTACTCAGTTCCAAGAAGTTTTATTTTGGATCGGGACCATAGAGTAGGCCCTGTCACAGATCCACTTTCTTTCGCTCAGCTAGTAGTACAGTCGAGTGACAAGAGTGTTCGTTCTGTGTGCCTCAAAGTTCCTTTGCCCCCAGCTTCTCAATCCCGCACAGCACATCAGTAGACTTTAAGGTGGGAGAGGGGGCGTGGGTCAGCAGAGGAGACCGAAAAGGAATCATGCATTCAAGACAAACCAGATGGAAAAGTAGAGCAAGAAGAACCCCAACCAAAACAAAACAAATCCCCAAGATAACTCCTTTCAAGGCCTTTAACCGCCCCTCCCAACCTTCCCACGCCCCTTCCGCATGTCCGTGCTGGTAGCTCCGTCTCCTTTAGTGGTCCTCACTACTGGGAGCATGAGAGACATCTAGTTCCCATTGCCAAGTATATTCCTCCCATTCCCAACCCCCAGATTCCATGTAGCGACCGTGAAATATAATAAGTGTGTATAGTGTAGTAATTAGCGAGCGTTTGGTGTGTGTTGCTCCAGGTATCGATGTATAAGCGAAAGACATTAGGTGGGTTGTGTGTTGGTTGGTGGTATCAAGCGATAGACATTGAGCAGCGCCGGCTCAGAGATGGGACCAAAACCGTGACCGTCCCCGCCCAGTAAAAAAACATGATCCCGTACACCGAGGCTAGTCCGCCAGACCAACAAAGTGAGCCAGTAAAAAGACAAAAGAGTCAGAACCACCATTGAACGCCGTTTTACTCATTGGAATAGGGCCCGGCCAGGTAAGAGGGGTTTCGCTCCTAGCCTGCTGGCCTGCCACACAAGACCCAGAGTCATCTTCCACAACAGGTTGTGTTGAAAGCATCAACAAAAGTGACGGTGACCCCAGACAAAAAGATAATTGCCCCAAACCGAAATGGGGAGTAATACCGACGGATTCGAATTCGAAAGCGATGCTGGTCGAGGCTCTCAATTACCCGGTTTCGAGTCTCGCTCCAAGTGTCGTCGGGCGAACTCGTTTCGCGCGTCGGCGCGTCCGCTCGCTCCAGTCGGAAGGAGACCAATGCTTCCCTTTGTAATTTCTGATGAGCGAAGTGCCTGTCAATCACTGGAATCGAAGAATGCACTGCCGAAAACGACCGAATAACTCGCTCGAACAACCGGGTATAAGTCTTCTGGTCCCCAAAATTTTGAAACATGCAACTTTTTGCCGCACCCAGATTCCACCCCACTCCGGGATGGTATGCACGACGCGAACCAGTTCCTGCCGATGCACCCGTGTCGGCTATGCTCATGGCCCGACCAAGAGGCCGAGAACGAATCGTAAAAAAAAAAAAAAAAAAGGGGGGGGGGGTATAGACAGCGAATGATGAGAATTAGAAGGTGGTAAATCTATCAGCCCAACTGGCGATGCGTGAGCGAAGAAGGGTAGAATGAGGCCGCTCGTCGACTCGGTCGTCTTTCAGGCTTCGTGGGGTTGCAATATTGTACAGTCGCGGGTCTAATATCGATTGGTATAGCTCAATGGCATGTCGCGAGGTTGGTTGGACTCTCTAGTCAGATTGGTGATCCTCACTGCCGGCGTCAGACCGGGCATCACCCTTGTGCACCTTCCGATGTCTACGGAGGTTTGACACAACTGAGAAATGCCGACCGCAGTTCTCGACCTCACATTTGAAAGCTGCAAGTAGCAGTGTCAACAGGGACTCCAAAGAAGGGGCGGGTAGCAGGGGTGGGTACTTACGCTTCTCTCCTGTGTGGCTGTACATGTGAGTCTGCAATGAGCTGGGTCGTGTGAAGCGCTTATCGCAGACCTTGCACTTGTGCTTTTTCTGGGTGCTGCTGGACACCTTGGAGCTGAACTGTCCCATCATGGACTGCGGAGCCGGGGGCTGGTTGTGCATCAGACCTTGGGGGCGCGGGAGCGTCCTGGAGCCCCCGACAGACTCGATGTCGGAGCCAGCTGTCGAGTAGTCACTGACGCTCCCGTCCACAGATCCGTAGTAAGGGCTGAAGCCTGTCGACGAGACGCTGGACGAGGTCGAATGTGCCGAAGGAAACCCATACGAGTCTCCCGAGGCGCGGCCACGGTTGTTGTAGACACCGGCGCGGGGCGTCTCCTGGTTGCTGGTGTCGAACTTCATTGAAAGCATGCCATGGCTGGCCTCAATGGCATCCTGGAAGCTTCGTCTGTCGTCGCTGATACCTCTGTCGGATCGAAAGTCAACAATTGAGCTCCTGGGCACTGGAGGCAGGCCTTCGACTTGGTGATCGTAGGACGCGCCAGACGAGACTGATGATTGTGAATACCTTCTGTGGGGATCCGCGTCGGGCGCCAGACCGAAGTTGTGCCGCACCGAGGAGGACGGGTAGCCCATGCTGTCGTAGCTGGTGGGTGACGCAGCGTAGGTAGCATGCACGGGGGAGGCCGCGGTCGTGTAGGCAGACTCGGCATACGAGGGTGCGGAGCTGGGATGGGGCATGCGGTTTATGCTGAGGAGATCTTGTGGAACAGAAAGTAAGTCCGATTGTCCTCCTGCAAGGGAAGGGTCCACCATACTGAGAGGGCTGCCTGCTGAGGCTGAGGTCACCGGGACGGAGCCATACGGGGCCAGCGGCGCGGTGGTAGTGGCCGGTGCCCGAGAGGGCGGCTGCTGTGCGTGGCGATCCAGGCCCATGGGGTTGGAGGCCAGTCCAGGTTGCGATGCCACGTACAGTGCGTGACTCGAGGGGGCGGTCGTGGACGACGCCCAGGGATTGCTAAACTGCGGCGAGTGGGTGGGATAGGAAGTCATGTTGTCGAATTGAAGATGCCCGTAACGTTGCTGGTTGGCGTCTATTGTCATCGTCATATTGGACAGGTTATGTGCGCCTGTGGTGTGCGAGTGTGTGCGAGCTCCAGGAAGTCGGCCAAGGGCGATACGTGGTGGGTTTTCCTCAGGGCGGAAAGGTGCAGTCCTGCTCAGGTCCTCAAGTCTCGTCGTGCGTGGGTTCGCCTTGTCGTGGGGGAGGGCAAACTTGTCTGGCAACGGCAGGAGCAAAGGTGCGAAAGTACGAAAGTAGGAGGAGGAGGAAGGGGATAGAGGGAAAAGAGGGAGAAGAAGGAAAAAAAAAAAGGTTCGCTGATCAGATGCGGGATTCCGTAGGGGGATTCAAAGTCGTGTCACCTTTGTGGCAGACGGGAGACTTTTTGACCTTGCTCCCTTGAAATCGATCAGTCTGGTTGGAGATCCAGCACACACGCGAGATATTCGAGAATGGAGGGATCAGCGACCTTAAGTGCGCCGCGAGGGAAGGTAGGCGTGGCAGGCCTGGCAGGATGGAGGATGACAGGAACGGCAGAGAAGAAGACAGTGGCCCCCTGTGCAAGGTGAGGACTAGCGCGATGGAGCCAATCGGTTGTTTGGACCCAAAAGGCTCGCCCGAACGTTGTGTCTTGGTCTGGTGGTGGTGCGCGGGACTGGTGGGGACCACACGTCTTCAGCGGGCCTGTGACGACTCCAGCAGAGAGCAGCGATCGGCGGTACAAGGAGCCGTGCTGAGAAAAGGAGGCCACAGGTCGCAAGCCGCAGGCAGGTAGGCCTGGTAGGTAGGTAGACGGCAGGTAGGCTAGGCAGGTCGTGTATCTCGTTCGTGGGTTTGCAGCGCGAGGTTGACCTCTGGCAGCAGGGATTTGGGTTGGGGCAGGGTGGCAGGCAGGCAGGGCAGGCAGGCAGGGCAGGCAGGACCTGGGTGCGTGCTGCTGAGCGCTGCTGGGTGGTGCTGGGCAGATGGTCCCTGCCACCTTGCAAGGACCAGGAGATAGGGCCGTGTGGGAGGTGGGACAGGCGAGTGCCAGGGCTGAGATTGGGGAGCAGCTGGTGTTCAATTTTGGGCGGGCTGGCGGTTCTGGCGTTGTTGAACAGAAAGGACAAAGATCGGCGGGCGGTCAGGACTGGGAGGAGCCGGGAGTTTGGGATAACAATCTTGGAGCAAGGCGTGGGGAACCGGACAGAGTCATGGACGACCACACCTTCATCCCACCTTGCGACCCGTCTTGTACCGGTACGCCCGTCTTGATACCGCGTGGGGCGGGCAGAGCGTGGAGCCCAGGGCAGAGTCTCCTGGCCGGCCTGGTGTTTTGGGGACGGGTAGACAAGCTGACAAGCTGGCTCTCTGTGCTGATCGGCACGGGTCGTGCGTGCCAGAGTTCCAAGGCCCGTCTCACGTGTCTCTGGGGGTTTCTCGACTTGCTATGGCACGGGGGAAATTGGAGGAAAAATTGGAGCACCAATGCCAGCTATCTGGGAGGGAAGGTGATGATCGGGGGGGAGGAAATGCGTCGGCGGGCCAAGCTTTACATAAAAGGTTCTCTGGGACGAGGGGAGGGAGCTATGATGAAAGGCAAAAAGGCGAGGTCAGGTATTGCCAGCTCTTGGCTGTTCTCTTTTTCGCCGCCCCGACCTGCAACAGCTACCGGCACTGGCACTGGCGCTGGCTGTGCTGTGCCTTGCGGTGCATTGCTGAGCTGTGAGCCCTGGCTGGCTGGCTGGCTGGCTGGCGGCCAACGAGGGCGTGTGCCGGAGCAAGGTAGCGTAGCGTCGAGGGGGCCGTCAAGGGCAAGGTCAAGGGCAGAGTGCCGAGGACGGGGTCAAGCACAACGACACAGACTACACCACCACTTCCATCTACACCACACACACAATACATATATCCACAGTGCGGTAAGCACCCATCACCCTGACACTTTCCAGGTCCGATTGTTCACCCAGCGCAGGCCGTTGCCGCCTCAGGGGCTCCGTACTGTAGGCTAGCCGTTGATGGTAGCATATCTAGGCATGCAAGCTGGATGCACAAGCACGAGCAGCAAAAGCCGGGGCCAACCAGGCCGGCCGGCCAGGATGGGTTGGGACTCAAGGGGGGGGGGGCGTGTGGATGGCAACATGACTGGACGGGCAGGACGGGCAGGACTGGACGGGACTGGGCAAGAGAATGTGGCCCTTTGGGCATTTCGGGGGCGTGTGTCTGTCGCGATGAGGCAACTGGTCGGTCAGTTGGTGGTGTGGGCCGGGACACTCAGAGGGACGACGGCAGACGAGGACAGGGCACCCTGGCACGAGCAGTGTGGAGATAAACTGGAGATGTCGCGCTTCGATTGTTGGTGCGGGTCCCTTGTGGCGTTGCATCGGCCTTGCTGGTGGGTGGGGGTGCTGGTGCTTGTCTGGTGACGGAGACCCCTCTATGCACACATGCGGCCACTAGCGGTAGATGTAAACTCTGCACAGACTACCTGGATACCCAGATACCTAGATACCTAGGTACCTAGATACCTACTTGCGGAGTAGTAGTAGATGCATGGATACCTACCTGGGCAGGTAAGTACCCAGGCAGGTGCCCCAGGTGCCGCTGCCTCCACCACACAACAAGCTGCCCTGGTCGGTCTGATGCCGACGGGCTGGGGACAGGCTTGGACGACGACATGTTGAGACTTATCGGACTAGGGGTGGGATGACACGATATCCAACAGACCCTCAACGGTCTCGCGTGTCTGAGTCCGGAATCTGGGTTGGGAACCTGGATTGTTGACCGTCAAAACCAGGTCGGTGGTGAAGGGAGCAAGCAGGCAAGGGAGACAACGACGAGGCCCCACATGATACCCTTTCCAGATGGGGCCTCAATCTCGACAGGATCGGTCTTACCGGATAGAGACATTTTTCTCAGCAGAGGGTGCGCACGAGCCAAGGGAGCCGAGGAGCGAGGAGGGAGGAGGGAGGAGAAGTGGCAGGAGGACCCTGAGAATGATATCACCTTGGACAGGACCCTGACCTGGCGAGATGATAACAATCAAACGGCCATTGCTCAGGCCAATCTCATCGCTGTCTCGGCTCTAGTCGCGTCCAGCCAGGCTAACTGGCGCCACTGATGTACTGTGCCGTACCACATAGACTACTGTGGCGGGCTGTCGCTGCTTTGTTCGCAGGGAGGCTGCGCCTAGTACACCAGCAGCCCGGGCTGCACGGATCAGCCGCGGCAGTGAGGGCGCTACCGAGTCTCTGCATTGCACCGTACCGCCCAATTGACCGTGCTCGCTAACCCCCCACCTCTTTTGTGTCTGATCAGAAACCCAAACCACAATGCATGGGCTGCCACGTAAGAGTGTGGTTCTGGTAATCTACTGCTGGTGTAGCAGGATCTCCACGATAACTTTATCACGATCCGAGACATGAATCAACTCGGAGGAACAAGCAGTGTAGCAAGGGGGACAACGCACGCAATGCGCCGTGTCCGAGGATGACAAGACCGAGGCGTGGTGGGGTTCGGCTCTTGTGAACGAGTGGGGCGAGACCCCCCCCCCTGTGGAGGAAACCACTCTCTTGTACGGAGTACCGATACGTGCATGGCAAGGAGAACGGACGGCCAGGGCTGTTGGGTGTCGGGGGGTCTGGGAGCGTTGACTGAATCAGACGAGGCCGGGACCTGAGGAACACATGAGCCGTTTAGTGCGGAGCACAGGTGGGCTGCGATATAAAAATAACACTATGCTCGATTTTGGATTGGGTTGGACTGGGTTGGACTTGGTTGGACTGGACTGACATGGGACGGGAATGCGTCCACGCATGCATCTCAAGTTGTTCTGAGTCCCAAGCTGCAAGACCAGAAGGCCCTTCTGGCATCAGACGACTGGGAAATGAATTGGCCCCTCAATTTGATTCTTCCTTTCTTCTCCTTGGTCATCCTATTTTATTTTTTTTAAGAAAAAAACCAAAATTTAAGCAATCTTGCTCCCCTGTTGTCTGTTGATGGTGCTCGCGGGCCGGATCTCCCTGGCCCACATCTCACTGCTCCCACCCCCTGTAAGTCAGCGGCCTCGTCCAGGAATGAATGATGCGGGAAGGAACAGCTTATTAGGCTAAGGTGAGGGCCGAGGGTGAGGAGGTCAGGGCAGGTGGAGGGTGGAGAGGAGGGACGAACAAAGCATTATGAAACCCCACTGACATCACACTGTCCCAAATGCATGCCCACCAGCCTACACTACACTAGGTACTCACTTACTTACGCATCCATCCATCCATCCACTCGCACAAGGGGCAGGTGCAGAATTACGTGAAGCTGCCATCTCATTTCTTGCTTGGAATACGCCAATGATGGTGTCTGGCGCCAAGAGAGGTGCTGGATTGCATTTTCGGTAGCCTGGACGGGCTGCCTGGTGGGCTCGCAGCCACGCACGCTAGCCAAGTCGGGCACTACATTACGTAGCCAGCTTCTGCATCCGTGACTAGCTGCCTCATCCGTGCCAAGCCGCTCTGACGTCCATCCGGTTGCAATTGTCACCACGGCCGTCGTGATGCAGTCATGATTGAATGGATTCACCAGCCAGCCCACCAAGCCAGCCCACCAAGCCAGCCCACCAGCACCTGTGTGACACCTGCGTGACACGGCAGACAACCTCTTTGCGCACGAGTCATCCAGTCCCCTGGGTGTGCTGCATTGGCCGGCCTGCCTGTGTTCACTCTGACGTCGTTGTTTTCTCTTGCAGCGCCTTGCCCCCCGTCGTCGTCGTCGTCGGGGTGGTCGTCGTCGTCGTCGTCGTCGTCGCTTTTTGCCTCTTGACGCCTCTCAGCCCCGCGCGGCTGGTACGCTCCCTCCGGCTCCAGACCCCGGCACCCTGGCGCCAATGGCGTTTGCCCTGGACTGGGTCTTTGGGGGCACTCCAGATGTCACTCACTGGCTGACTGGCGCTGAGGCCGCGATGCGACAGCCTTCATCTCGTCTCCCGTGCCCTATGACCCCAAGATGCCATGGAGCCTCCCTCTCCCCCTCCCCTCCCAACCGGCCCCGGCCTCAACTTGAGATCCAGGCTTGCTGCCGCGCTGCCAGGCTGCCAGCATAGGGAAGGCTAATCATGCTCGCTTTCGCGCACAGTAGTACAATGCATTGCAGAATACAGTGGGCCGCGCCAGTATGCATCCCGACTTCATCTCGAGGCAGACTGAGCACAAGTAGATATCACACCGCCCACCAGGGGGGTGCGGCCTGGTGTGGGTGGATTGGCCATCTCCCGCGATTTGCGACTGCATCCCGCGGGAGCTGTCTGCCCATACGTCACTCCATTCAGCCGCATCCCGCACCAGGGACAGCAACAACGGCCATGCATCCACGCGGGCCTTTGGCGTCGAGGGGCTTCTCACGGACCACCACGCTCGCCTCCCCCCGCCTGTGGCCGTCGGTACTCAAACTCCTGCTTGTGAGTGGCAGGAAGTCGGCGGCGCATTTGGGCATGGTGGGCCAGCCGCTCTTGTCCAGAGTGCCTTTACTCCCATGAAGCAAGCATTGCCTCTTGAAGCCCACCGGCGAACGCCCCCCCCCCTCTTCTCCCAGCCCTTGTAAGTGGCGGTGGGCATGGTAGTGGGTGCCCACAAGGCCGCTACCACCGGGGACGCAGCATCCGGGAATAACACCATGACAGGGTGGCCGGGCCCCCTACAACTCCACATGCGAACCAAGCTTTAGCACACACTACGCCGCCCCCAAGCATCAGGCAAACGACAGCGAGAACGCTCGCAATCCAGAAAAACACCCAATGGCGCCTCATCCCAACATATGCTGCAGCCGGGTTTCCCACCTAGGCAGGCAGGCAGCAAGACGCCTGCGAGGGGCACACAGGCAGACAAGTCCACACAATATATTGATTGCCCTGTTGCCTTGGTACCTGCTCACGAGCTGCACCTAACCCACCTAACCCACCTTTACAGCCATTGTGCTTTCCGCTGATCATATTGCCCGCGGAACGCTTCCACCCCCGGCGTATAACCCTCTCTCTACCAGGCTGCTGGGCTGCCGGGTAGCTTGCAAGCCCACGCGGGATTCCATCACGGTCATGTTCGGGTCCCCGGGCAGCCGGGGTAGCAACCCAGCGTGGCGGATACCAAATGGCCCCAGTGCTACTATCAACGTCACAGCCTCACAGGGGTGGGTTGGCTTGTCTTGCAGTCTTGGTAGAATGGCAGAAATGGTCGCATATGCGACAGGCGGCCTCTTGGCAGCGACGAGCACAACCATAATACCGTGGTAGCCACATGCATCAAGCCCAAGCCCACCCCAGAGACTACTACCAAACAAATAATGGGGATGGAACCCAAGGGAGATGAGCATGCAGGCAAGCAGACCCTTGATCGACCTCGCCAGCACTGCAGCGCGAGCCCAAGCCCAAACGGGTGCATCAAGTCATCAGCTCATCTGCCCGGCGCCGCTCCATTCCCTTCTAGGATTGCGCGACTAAGCACAAGCCATGCTACATTCTGGTTTTGGTAGACTAATTTTGCGGGCATCTGGAAGGGGCAGGAAACAGCATGGTCACTGCTGAAATGGAACTGCATGTCACATGGCCAGTTCTCTGGAATGGCATAATGTCGATGCCAACCGGGCTGCATCACTGGCTAACAACCCCCCCCCCGAAGCACATAGGATGTGGCCATTTTTGTCAGGAAGCCCTCCAGCGTCGCCGGGGGCTTCAGGCAGCATTTTGCCTCTTTATCGAAGCAAAGAAGACGCAGATTCCTTTCGCGGCACGCATGCCGGTTGTATCAAGCCCCGGTGCCTCTGTTGTACGGCGCTGACTTGGCGTACTCCACCGGCGGCCACATGCATGGCTGCAGATGCCGTTCAATACGCCTACCTGGCTATGTCCCCTACAAATCCTGAGCTGACAGTGGGCCGTCTTTGATGAAGCAGCACCAGGGTCATATCCAACCCCAGATCCTCTTCGAGCGCTGCGAGGAGCTCTGGGACGCATGGACTTCCCTAAAAGGAAGAATGGGATAGGGGGACCCGCTTCGATGGCACACTCTCCATCTCA